CCTTTGGCTTCACAGTAAAAGACCTTCAGACTATGAGGCTAAATCTATTAAAATGGCCTCAGTCAGTTTCGGTGAATATTGTGAGAACTTATGTACATTTACGTTCTGCTATTTTGAGCAAAGCTTGTGCATTTATCTTTTTCTCTTAAGAACATTTGGCATCTCCATCAGGCCACGTTCGCAAATATCGGGCCGCAGCTTTCGGAATGGCGAAGGCCCAAAATGGCCTCCTCATCTGGTTCTTCTATTCCAGGACACTTGATTGACACGGGAGCAGCACGGGACATATTCGGACCGCAGAATCATCATTCTGAACAACTGTCAAATGCTCAGGGATTTCGTCAGAAAGGCAGGGAATCCCGCCCAACTCCTCAAAATGAAAAATCTTCCTTTAATCCATCTGTCTCAAGAGATAAATCCGAGGTTATCTTGCTAGTTTTCAACAGACGTCTTCAAGGTTTTGCAAAGTCCTCTCCTTCTTCCTCCTCTTCTGCATCGTCTTCGTCATCATCCCGGTCTGTGCCATCTACTTCATCTCGCAATACAGCGAATAATCCGACAAGCAACAATAAAGATTTTACTTATGGGGAAGAATCGAACAGTGCGAATTCCATGATTGCAGTGGTCAATCTTGACGAGGTGAGTCAGTTAGGATTCTCATAGCTATCATTAGAAGTAGTTATAGCCCGAAAGTTCCCTATTTCATTTTTCGTCTTCTCTTATTTGGCAGTGAAGCACTTAGTCTATTCTCAAAGTCTACGGCTCCGATAATGATGTAAGCCCAAAATTTGTGCATGCAAGTTATATTCACAGGTATCTATCATTCTAATTTTACATCGTGGGCTGAGTAACAAATTACTAAAATAACCAATTTAGGGTCGCTCTACTTCTACCGGCTCATAAAGTATAGCTTTTTGGTTTCCAACAACTGCCTTTACTTGCAATTATAGTTTGATATAAAAATTGGGTTTTGATTTACGAAGAAGCAATATATAGTTCTAAGCATGGAAACATTTTTCATCTATAAATAGATTTTCGAGACTACCAGTAGATCGTTAGTATGAGATGTATCCCCCTATTTCATTTAAGATGATGGATGACTGGCAGTTGATTTTTTACCACAATAACATGAGTAGGCCTTCGTAACCTCTAACAAAATAGGGTGGATACATCTCATCTATATACTGGTAGTCTCGAAAACCTACTTCCTATCGAAAGCAAAGTTATATAATCCATTTTTATGGTAAATACAACATCCCACCACATAATTCGATAGAGAATGCCTGGCCTTCCTTAAAATTCACATCTTCACAATGACTAAAGGGCACACGTGGCAATGTGGCGTAGTGGTCAACGTGTTGAGACTATATGTTGCACTATCATGGTTCGACTCCCGTTGAGTGCGCTGATAGGACCTAGGAGAGGCCGAGATTGTAGTCCACTCCAGCCCGGATGAGAATACCATCAAGAAAGAGAGGCTATGTAAAAATAGATGCAAATGTGGGGTATACTCATATGATTGTGGGAGGAATATTAATAGGTAATCCTTCATCACCTTAAAAGAAATTGAGTGAACACATCTATCACATGGAAATGTTTTCCGTTTCCGTTTCTGTAAGGCTTCAGTTCATGCACCAGCGCGTAACTTTATAGAAGCAAATTCGAGCGTTTCTTAATTCTGACTAATATCTGCTCATAAACCCGAGTGTATCGATAAAAAACATGTCTGGAAGGGCTTGTTTCTCAGTAAATGCAGTAACAATATGGGTGAGTAGCATAACATCCAAAAAATATCTATATAAGACAGTCTAGTTGAGGTACAATTGGAAAAGCTTTGATTCCTTTTATTTTTAAATTATAACAACCGAAATTTATACCACGACAGTTTTAGATGAATAATAATACACAATGGCCGCAAACCTAGATGCTATTTGCGAGTGAGATAGCTGTTGAGACGGACCAATGCCCCATAGCCTAATTATCATAACCTTTGCTATATACTTCTCATTGGACGTGATATGGACTACTCCCGACTTTGTTGAGCTCTGACTCCATTTGGTATACTCATTCTTTGTGGTCAAGATAGAAAGAGAAATCACATTTTTGTACTTGTTTGCTCTTCATCGCATTCACATGGAACTGGAATTCTAATCATGATTGCCTTCATTCATCTTAAATATATTTTGCGAATAAACTAGCCAGGCAACATTTAATTAGTCCTAAATACAGCACGAATTAATTTCAAAAATGAATCTAGATTGACACAAATTTTACTACTTCCGTTTTTATAAGTAGATTTCGAGACTTCCAGTAGATCTCATACAATAGCTGTATTCACCCTATTCCGTGTAATGCAATGAAGGGCTAGTAGCTCTGCTTCCCACAATCATATGAATAGGCCTCACATTTCCATTGAATTTCACATATCCTTTTTTCCCAAAATGGAATCGTTGGCCTACTCATAGAACAGTGGATTCAGCTACTCGTTGGAGGGACTTTCAGTGCATGATGGTTGGATTCGTAAATCAATCTCTAGAAGGCAATGACTGATTCCAGTTGTACTACAGCCGTTTGACTTTAGTACGACGTTAGGTTGACGCAATCTCGAGAAATCCTCCCTTGTTTCGGGCGGAAAATGGCTAATCTTTCGTCTATCATATGATGAGCATCCTCAGAGCTGGAACTCATTCGTGTAAAATTCTCGACTTGACACAAAGTCAAGAAGATTGCCCGTCTTATATATGCTCATGATTAAAAGCGAATATGTATAAACATAGAAGGCCATGGTATCTTTATTTGAATGTGCGCATGTGTGCTAGCGTCTCTACGGTCCTAAATCAGAGTAATTTAAAAAGTTTAATATTAAATCTTAATGTCTCAAGAAAAACCCCCTGGCCGAGGCTGCGTAAGTTCAGAAACAACTTTGACTGAGATAATGAGATGTGAGCTTGTAAGCTTACATTCAACGTATTTCCTAGTCCATTGATTTTATTGTTGGGGAGATTT